AAGTCGAAAATTTTTGAAAATTGCATGGTGGATAGAATATACTTATATAAAAATTCGGCGAAAATTTCATGAATCAAAGGTCATTTGTTTTAAAGTTACATCAAAAACCAAAATCGATTTTGTCGAAAAATGAGTGTGCGTAAAATTTCCCGTTTTTGCCTTAATTTTTAGTAGATTCACTTTCTGATCGAACGAGGTACTGAAGTCAAAAATTGAAGCACTTTTACTGCCCAAAACGTGATGACAGACACAAAAAAAAACACACATCATGGTGAAATCAATACATTCATCGCTCCGCTCAGAATCTAAAATAGGTGTCCCGTAAAGAACAAATATGCCATAAAGCCATGTGAAAWTTTCAAGTTTTTTAATTTGTTTTTCAATTACAGTTGATAAATCATTTTTCTATTGAACAAAACACTTGAAAATATAATAGAAAATTCCACGTAAGTAATTTAAAAAAAAATTGATTGTCTAATGTATTAGAATTTCAACAATAATCATAAAAATTCTCAAAAATTTACAACTTTTTTTTTATTTATAAATTTATATAAATTATCGTTTCTTAGCTAACGTTACAAAATTTACCAAATAGAAGATTTTCCACCAGGAACAATGTATTAATGAGGTATAAAGCAGTAGTTAATATGTAATGTTTTCTATTGGATTTTTGTATACTCGTATAATATTACCTGTTTCAATATTTCTAGTACATTTAAATTGAGTAAAACAAATAAAAGTAACAAAAATTATGAATTTAGTGAAAATATAGACGGCACTGATTGCAATACTTATTCGTCGAAGAACATTATAATAGTCTTAATAATTTATTATAGATCTTATAATCCTATAATATAAGAAATTTTGTTTGTCCTATATCTTATATTCTTATATTATAAGATATAGGACAAACAAAATTCTTYATTGAAAATGAAATTCATTAATTCGAGATTTTTAATGTATAGTCATAATATGTAGAAATTTTGTCTGAAATGATATGTGTAACGAGAGCTATGTCCCCGAGTGATCACTTTGGGGTAAAATATTTTAGCACCCCCAGGCCCCAAGCTTAAGACTAAATGTACACCTATGCTCCCCCCCCCATAAAAAAAAAAACATAAAATATAATATATATGTAAGTTGTTGGTACATCCATATCATTTTCACATCCGTAAAATATAAAAATAATGTTATATGCAAAACAAGTGTAGGTATATAGTAGTGTGCGTAAAATATCCTGCAAATATGAAACTGCACCCAGTCATTAGTCAATATACCTAACTAATGCTAACCAATGCTAAAATGCCAAAAAAAAGCTCCAAAAAACTGTCGATTTCGTGAGAAACTTATCGACTATGGATTGCTGGAGGAGGGGAGTTTCACTCCAATTCTCGCATGGCTACGCCCCTGGATATCAATAAAAAATAGCATATTTTATAAAAACCCTGAAACAATATATTATTTTTTTATAAATCTTATATTATGGTGTGAAAATATTAAGTTCTACTTGCATTTACATTTTAAATATGCTATATAAAATAAATATCTATTGATATACTATAGAGTAAAAATTATTTTATCAGAGACCATATGCTGCAGGCACATAAATTTGTCAATAGTTAATCACAATACGTACAATATATAGATATGAAGAAACTTTTTTTGTTGAGTCATAACTCATAAGGTTTAAATTATCAAAAAATGTCACAGATAATCTTTAATATAATATTTATATGAATAATGACATTCCACAGACATCAGAACACCACTGATTAACATTGAAGTGGGCGTTTATTGTAGACTTTTATAGCTTTTGTCATTAGTTAGTACTTAGTTTTATGTTGAACATGATGGGTGTTTTTAAAGAGGCCTTATTTTATACATGTGTGGTATTTTTTCTAGGTAAATTATGATGAATTTGAAAGTTTTGTTTAAAATACAAATACTATGCATAAAGATWAATGAAATAACTATATTTTTAGGAAGCAGTCTCAGCAGTGAGGGATGTAGTAATGATTTAACTGGTTCATCTGCTGCTGTAAGACTCTCAAATGATTTGTTTTGCTCTTATGATAGGAACGTAAGACCTGTGATGAACCAATCATCTCAAACGTCTGTTGATACCAAATTTTACATTTTCAATGTGCATATGGTAAATACAATACTTTAAAATTTAATTTATTTAGCCTGATATTCATTAATGTCCTATATCCATTAATAATAATTATACAATAAATTGTAGTACCAATATTACGACCAATTTACCAGTAAAACTTTAGTCACGTATCCACCTACTCAATACAGGAAAATTCTAGGAGAAGAGTTATAATATATTTTAAAAAAATCATACTTAATATTATCGTTACATATTTAAGAATAAACAATATATTATTAATTTATGGTTGTAAATCATGATCTTATCATAAACGTGCAGAATGACACCGATCTTTATACAAATCGTAGAAGCCTATAGAGTATAGATTATGATGTCTATAAGATATAACTTTTTTTATCATTTCAGAGGGTGATGATTAGAATGCCTGTATAGGTACTTATGTACTATTGTCTTAGGCTATATAGTTAGAGTTTTTACATAGACGTTGCGTAATGAATTTACTGCAGGAGGAGAAGCTTTAGCTATTCTTTTTTAATAAAAATGTTTCAGTTCTCATACACGGACCGAAATGTGGGGGGTTGACATAATCCCCCGACTGGGGGGCTGTAGCCCCCTTATCCCCCCATTATACGCCTATGTGATTATTCATCGATTCTGCCAGACCTTTTTAGAGTGTAGAACAGTGGTCTCAAACATACGGCCCGTGGGCCATAGGTGGCCCGCGTACCCTTCCTACGTGACCCGCAATAAAAATATTTTTAGTAATAGTAATTTCATAATATATTAAGTTAAATTTAGATAAATGGAATTTGTATGTATCTTTGCCTTCATTTTGTCTTTAGTTTTTAGTGTATAAGTATAAAGATGGCACTTAAAATTTGGTCCGCGAATTTTTTTGAAAAATATATGGCCCGTAGGTAATTTGAGTTTGAGATCACTRGTGTAGAATAAAGTATGTTTCGATCCCGTTAGAACATGCAGGTAATCTAAAAACGACYAATCGGTTCTACCTGCACCGAATCAGAGGAAAAATAATCCTCCTGATCAAGATTTATAGATTAAAGTTTGATTTTTTTTTACATAGCTATTATATTAAAAATTAATAAATAATATATGAAATACCTAATAAGTAGTAGTAAGTAGTATAAAATTACAATTCGTGGCGTAGCATAGCGTGGTTACTGTATTCATTCACTCAACGTGATTGAGTGTGTACACCACCCGCTGCCACTTGGAGGCTGGATGGATGACCACCAGCTAGGTTCTTATAGTGGCCAAAACCTTGCCAAACAAACCGTAAATACACTTTTAAATAAAATTGTGAAACAGGTCGGTAGTAGCAACAGGTTAAGGTAAAAATTGATTCAGAGCGGAATGGATATAGTTTGTTTTTAGACTTCCTGTACTGGYGAACTTGATATTAGCGTAATCGATGCTACATTGGCAAAATCAATATAGGCCCCCGTATTTTTAAGTATACCTCCGTTAGGAATAGTAATAATATCTGAATATCCTAATTATCCTGATGTGGATATCCAAATCTGGTTTTATTGGATTTTAATTATTTTTTTTTTTAATTTAAAAGTTATAATAAAATTAATATATTTTATTTAAGTCTAATATTTATTCATTTTTATTATAATTTAAACATGTATTCTGGTTAAATATAGTATAATTCCCGATATATTTGAATATTTTCATCTCTAAATAGTAAATTCTCATTTTAATTTATTAGGCACCAAAAAATTGTCATATTAATTATATCATACAAATTATTATTTTATTTTTATTTTAGAACGAAAAATGGGACATTTTACAAATGAGTATTCAATTAATTATGGTACGTAATAACATAAATTATAAATTATAAGTACTAGTTGATGGCGCAACTAGAGAAAACTTCTTCAATTCCCAATAGCAAAAACTACAAATTTGGAAATTTTTCTAAAAATCTTAAGTTAATGGTCTAGTCTAATAATATATAACAGCTAGGTATATTATAGGTATAACATTAATAATACTTACCTAAGAAGTAAGAAGTAATAAAATTAATAATTATATTATGCAGTATCATAGTTCATTATTAATATAGCTCTGACTAAGCAATATAAACAATGACTGATTGGCGGACCAGGAATGGTCCAGGATTATTGATGATTCAGTATTATTATTAACATGTTCATTACCAACCCCTGTGTTTTCCATAAATAACGAATTTATTTAAACTTAAATTGCGTGAAGTGAACATTTAGAATAGGGCCGCTTCATATTAACCTTTTTCCTCTCCAAGATATATAGGTAGGTACCATTATTTCAGATATTAAGATATTGGGCCTCTTGAAATATGTTTCGCCCTACTGGATGTTCAGAATTCTGCGCCACTAACCTTGTATATTATTATATTGATAACGTGCATATATGTGCATATATGTAATCCCAGAAAACTTCAAATTACTTGTCGTATTGTATTTTAATAGATTGACATCAAGACATCATTGTTATTTTAGTTGGTTGTCTAACTATATAGTATGTATACTACTAWAGTAACAACTTTAATGTACCTATTGCTTAATATACAGCGAGGTGTACAAGTACAATACGGACTATAAAATTATATAATATCTGAAAGTAAGTTACCAATGTTACCATGGATCTTGGTGGATATTTTAATATTTACCAGCTATCATGGTGGCTATTTAGCTATCAAAATATTTGATTACTGTTATAATATATTATATTGTATATCTCAGTAACTCAAGTCACAGGTATACTTTTAAAATAATTACTTTTCAGTATCCGAGGAAAAATTTATAAATAATATAACATAATGTCAGTATACCTATATATTAAGAGTAAATATAAGAGATGGGACCCATAGTCAGGATCATAATTGAAGAGAACTCGGTCGGTAAGAGAGTAAGARACCCCTAGGAAGATCATGCTTACGTTGAGAAAACTCCGTGAAAAGGGACGCGGGAAGCATCAAACCAGGGATAGATACCATGGAGAGAAGCGGCAGAAGATGGAGATGGATGGAGAAAAATTTGTTTGGCAGAATAGTCTTAATCTTCTGGCCAAATTTGAACATAAATAAACTGCYTTGTGCAGTATATTATTATATGTGATATAATGTATAACTTTAAATTATTGCTTTTAATATTTTAGTATTTTACTTAGGTATACTCGCCAATTTTTACTTGAGAATTATTATGATACTTAATTTTTTTTCGAAATTATTATTTTATTTATACCTAGGRAAATGTCCATGCTAGTAACAYTAAAAAAACAAAAATAACTATCATATATAATACTCCCAAGTCCCAGGTTTGTAAAACTATTGAGTCTGAGTGCATGCACATAAGATACTCGAGGCGTTTGTGACAAGATCAGTCAACTTGGTAGGGCAGTCAACTTGTTAAAATATCTTTAAAAACTATTGTGTTTACTTATTGTTTTAAATTTTGTGGTTAAAAAATTCTCATAAGTAAGTACTTCATTTATGAGAAACCTTGTGTTATATATATCCAAGATTTTTGATAAAAGTCAAATAAATAAATTATAAATAATAATTGAAGTAGGGATTGCAGTGTAATGTAAAATAACAAATTTTAGCATYGCTCAACTCTATAACATTTATTGCATGACTTTAGGTACACTAATTTATTTTAATGGGTACTTATTTCCCTATTATGTTTATTTATTTGTAGCCTCCTCCCCCCTCCCACGAAATTTTTTTTCTCATAGTTGCGTCAATCGATGTGTAAATGTAACATATATAGGTACTCTGAACATTTTTATATAGGAATGGAAAGATGAATTTTTGGTTTGGGATCCTTCAAAATATGACAATATTGAAAAGGTTTATGAAGAATCAGCCCATGTTTGGATACCCGATATTATGTCATATGATATGTAAGTCAATATTATTTGCTTGTATAACATATTATAGTTGGATAATAGATATAGAAGAGGTAAAATCTGATTTCGAACGTACCTAAAATATTTAAATTTATGACATATGTACAATTTACCTTTTTAGGAAAACGATTACAATATATTTGTCGATAAACAAAGAAGCTCCTTAAATACCACACAATTGTGTAGGTATACTTACGTATCTATGTACTAAAACAGGCACTGACGATTTCAAATATATATAACTATACAATTTTCGGTAGGTACTGATGGTTTCGGTCTGGTTCTGATATCAATAAACACCGATATTTAGAAGCCTATATTTTTTCGAAAAGTAAAAATAAATAAAGTTWAAGCATACGCATATTAGTTAAAATGATAAAATTAAATTATASTTGTCTGAATAAGTATTAAAGGAGCTAAGTAAGTTTGCTATTTTGTTTTTAAAACATCCAAAACGGGTTTACAAAGATATGGTTGGCTTGTGTTGTCAGAAGTCAGCGCAGWGGCGCCAAGTCCAAAATTTTACCTATGACATTAGATACCTCCACATTCAATTTTGACACCCACTTATTTCTTATAATTACYTTTGCATGTAGCTAAATGACCAACTTTGTAGTTTTTATACGATTGTATCATTTGTTTGCTTATTAAATATCGCCTGAGAATTAATGCAACTCTGTCTCGACAATAGGTATAGGTATATCTCCTAAATTATAGGTTCTTACAAATTAATCGTCAAAAGTTAGGTGTAGTAAGTGCATATTTTTTTATTGATATGAATCAATGAATGGTTAATCGTTAATAGTTACTGCTCAATAAAATCCAATCAATATAATTATTAATTATTCGTTATCACTGATCAGTAATCACCCTTCACTATTATTTTATTTTTATAAGAAACGGGTAAGAAATAATTAAAAAGCTTATTATTATATTTTATTATATTTAAATGTACAATGTACTTATCTATATGTATAAATAAATAGGTGGTTACTAGTTTATTAATAATTAGGCCATGTCACAACTTTTCTCACAATTTGATGAAAATTTATACAAACGCGTATTTTGATTATTTTAATTATCATTTCATTATTGTTTACATACCTATGTTGGCAACTGCTCTTAGTTTATCTTTTTAAAAAATCCCCAGCATATTTTATATATTTTATATATTATATAAATAAAATTAATATTGTATATTATTTTAAAAATTGCCTTTTATCCTATATTATATATAACAAAATGCATAAATGTAGTATTTACAGTGATGATATTATCTAGTCAGCTAGTCAACTAATTGGTCAGTTGGAATTACATCTTGATCACGTTTATTTTGAGTATAGGTACT